GGAAAGAGAAGGAATCTCCCTCAGCTGCTAATGGCTGTCTTGCACAAAGTGCTCCTGGACCATGCCGAGATGCTGAAGTCATGAGGACAGTGAAGCTCTGACAGAGAGAAGAGATGACTACAGTCTATTAATGGCTGATTCCCTATCAGTGTGGCTGCAGGTGGTCCTTAATCAAAGAGTACTTCAGAGCAGAGAGGAGTTTGATAGAGCACAGGTAGCCAGACAGGGACAAAGGTGGCAAAAGCAAATTGGCAAAGGATGGGTGCCTGCACCGCTGTAAGAGGACCGTGGCAAAGCAGAGGTGGGGGGGAGGTGATATAACTGGCTTTGTTCCCTTTCTGGTTGTAGTGAGCTGCTCCGTGCCATGGGACAGGGATAGGCAAGATCGCCATGGCCTCTGCTTGAAACCTAGAGCTGGTTTAAGGTCAAAGTGAAGGATCTGTAAAAGAAAGAGAGCTTCCCGTGAGGCTCCTGTCTGGCACCAGCATCTCAATGACTGCTTTGGATATGGGTAGAAGCCAAGGTACAGCACTTGTAATGTTTCTAGAAGGAGCTAGGAGCAAGTCCCTGTGTACCTTGCCAAGGTACCCCCCTGGCCAGCACCTCTGATAATGGACTGCAGAGAGCCTGGAAAATAATGAGAAGCCACAAGCAAACTGGTGGCAAAGGTCCTGCCCACCTCCTCCCACTGGAGTCCCCTCAGACAGAGGAATATGTCCAATTTACCCACAAAAAATTATTCTTTCCTCTTGCTACCTTACTGTTAAGACATTTTAAATTCTTACTGTGTGTAAAGTCACAAAGACCCGCTCCTGAAGTCAACAGGAAGAAAACTCAGCCTTGAATGAGAGGCAGCTGCAGTGCAAAATTAATCCCAAGGATTGATTTTGAATTTAGGGGCATTTTCATAGCCTCTCTTTTGACTGTAATTTCTCTAATTTTACTTCATCTCCAGAAATATCAAAGTCCTTGAATATCTTCTTAAGTTCTTCTTTCTGGAGACAGAAGAGAAACCTTGTGGCTTCAGACTTGTTAAAATCAATAATATTATCCCTATTTATACCCAGCAGTTGAAAGGTAGGTCATGCATGCTGGTGGATGAACTGCTTTTCAGGATGGTTCTGTTTCGGGGCAGAAAGGTTTAGAAACAGATGATAAGCACTGATTTCCTGCTTGGAAAGAATACGTGGAATACCAGCTGGTGCTTGGTCCAGAGAATAAAGGTGATGTCCCGCTAGTTGCGCCCGTAGGAAATACCAAAATCCCAGTGCTTCCTGCTGTGGAGCCATGCGGGAGCACGCGGCTGCTGCCAGCTGGGTTCGGGCTGTGCAAACAGCCGGCCAAGCTCCAGGGCTGCTTTGTAAGGTCCTTTCCCATCCCTCCAGCATGCTGAATCAGTTGCAGGACTACATCCCACAGGTGGCTCCTCTTCTTCGTCCCCGAGTCCCACGGGCAGCAGGGGACTCACCCCCAGCCAGGTGCCTGGTCTGGAGTGGAGCTGCAGGACATGTCCAACAGCAGGGCTGAGCTCTGGGTGTAACCCTGGCTTCACCACCTCTCTCCCTCACCGCAGCTGGCTGTCCTCATTGCTTTTCCCTGAAAAGGCACTGGTCTCTCCCCAGCCTGGGCTGTAGGTGATGCTGGGAAGGCTGAAGAACGGCACCAGCACGCACTGCACCTACGAGCTAGCAAGAGCCGATGGGTGAAAACAGATGCTCTGCTCTCTTCCCCACAGGTAGACAAGCTGAGGGCTGGTTTTCTGGAGAACTCCTTGCCAAGATGGACAGCCTGAGCTGGGAGGAGCGTTTAGATGGTTCCTACCTGGCAACAGGTTCAGCGGTGGATTTATCGCAGAGGAGCAAGGTTTGTATTAACAGGGGGACTGCTCATTTCCCTGCTTTCCTTTTGTATGCAGCAGCATCACAGTCACAGCCAGACCCAGGGATGTTCTCCATCCCCTGCATGCCACGAGTGAAGTTCAGCCCCAGTGAGCAGACTCCATTTACGGGATTGTTGGATGGTGCAGATGTCCCTGTACCAACTCCAGGACCTGCAGGGTACGCACCTCGTGGGACATGGGGATGCACGTCACAGTGTAGAGCTCATCCCCCCTTCAAGTTTCAGTCCAGCAAGTCAAACAGCAGCATGATCTCGTCCTTATTCAGGGTGGTCACATAACAGAGAAAGCAATAAAACTGCAGATCCGGAAAACAGTGAGCATCGTCTGCACAAAGCTGTGAGCAATAATTAGCAGGATTTATTTTAAGTGTCCACTGCTCCCAGACAGGTTGCACAGGCAATTAAAACACCGTAGCAGGCAAGAGATACTGTTCAGAATTAATAGAACAGTATTAATAAGATGGCCTGATTTATGAAAGGGGCATATGTGATTTCTGCACAGAAGGCAATGTTAAAGTGCTCATAATTTTCTGTCTGTCTTCTCTCCCACCCCTGGAGGAGAAAAGGACTTTTCCAATAAACCAGAAATATGGGAGTAGACTGAAGAAGTGCAGGCGGGAGGTTGCAAATAGCCTCATGGGGAGGACACTGTTGGCAAGAAATCCATCTGCTTTCTAACACGAAGCGCAATCAGTTTATAGAAAGGATTATATGATGAGGTTGCGGCAGTACTAAGGAATTAGCGTCAGTGAGCCAGAAATCCCCTCTTGCCCTATGTTCCCGGCATTTCGCTTGCACAGCTGTAAAGATCTCCCGTATTGCTGGCCTGGTTTTCTCCTGTGTCAGTTACCTGCTCGTTATGCCAGGACCTGGTTATCGTGTTTGTGCAGTACTAGCAAGCGCCCGACTTTGCCTGCTGCTGAGATGCAGAGGACAATAGTACTGCAAAATCAAACAGGTTTTGTAGGCTCTTGGACATTTTTCTGTCTCACAAACAGAGAAGGGGAAAGAAATACCTTTGGTAATAGCTGAAAATACATCTCGGTGGCTCTGCATGGTCCCCCGAACTGTACACACTTCAGAAGCTGATGCAGGAGTAGCCAGGCACATAACCTTCCAGAGCAACCGAGGCGTGACAGAGCGGGGGGGGCATGGTGATACATGCTATATCTGAAAGCTTTTGGGGGTATTGCCAAGCACCTGTATTAACCAAGCTGCTAGATAATTGGTATTACAGAGCGCTGCATTTGTTGTAACATCTGAAGTGCGATATTTGTAAAGTCTGTGAACTCTGATTTTAAATCCTAAGCGATGTAGCATTCTCTGTGTCTCTTTTCAAAACATTACACAGGGCCTGTAATTTTAGAGCATAAATGCCGATCTTGATTTTAGAAGGACTTACCATTCAAGTAAATCTTTTGATGAACATCCAGGAGTTGGAAATACTCTGCCAGTGCCTCAGAATTTCTTACTGGCAGCAAGAAGTATACTTCATCTAAAAGCCGATGCAGCAGAAAACACCCAGATTTCAGCTTCCTCTCTGCTGGTCATGGAAGATCAGTGAAGCAGAATTAGCACCATGGCAATGACCCCTCACAGAAGGAAAATTCTGCCCTACAACCAGACGTGACCTCCATCCCACGACTTCAACGCTTTTTCCACATTTTGAAGAATTCCCCTCAGATGTGGAAGCACAGGCTCCCCTTCCATTCCACATTAGAGGATAATATGTAGTAAAATCAAGTGACAGAAATTATTCTTACAAAGCTCAAGAGCATTAAATCTGATTAAAATGTGCAAGATAGCACAGACTTAAGGATTTGTTTTAGACTGCAATGCAAATTTCAACCTCAGACAAGCGGTACCCCGAAGTCTGTTGGTCTGTGCTGAGGAGGTCCTTCGTAGCAGGCACTGCAGGGCTTTGATGTTTCTGGTTTCCAGTACCTGACAGTGTCCTGTGCAATGTGTCTGGGAGCTATAGCTCAGAGACAGCTGCTTTTGAATACCCAATTTCTTGTTCAAGTTAGCTGTTAGGAAGCTGAACCTCTCTTGTATTTACATACAGTGTTTATCACCCATTCCTCTTCCAACCCAGAACGAGTCCAATCCAGCACAACAATAACAATTGAAAGTGCTCTTCACTCCTTACCCCTAACCTATACCAGGAATAATACTGATAAAATCAAACTCCTCTGGCTTCCTTTGGTCGACAGACCCTCTGTAACCCAGCATTTACATATGTGGAGCTGTATGTTGTCTTGCAGTCAGGGTAGCAGTTGCTTCTCCTCAGGTCGTAACGCTGAGCAAGGGCCCAGCTCTGCTGATGCGTACTGGTGGGGACTGTGCTGTCTGCTCTGAGCGGTCGTGGTTAACGCAATGGTGATGGTGCTCGTCACCATAGGATCAGGTGTGCTTTCATGAGCCTGGGGCAGATTTGCAAAGTTTTTTTGCATTTCTTGAATTTATATTCTCTTATTTATCATTTGGGAAACAGTAAGAAGAAGTAATCCGCTGGTGGATGAGATAATTAATCTGTTTGCTGACTTGGTTTGACACCTGTGAGGTTTCTGTGAGAAATGGATGGAAAGAATTCAAATGGCTGATTCCCTTTGGCTACGGAGCCGAGAGACAGCAAATCTGCTGATAGGATATCAAGCGCTGGATGAAAAATGCCACAGCCCTCAAAATGCTGTATTGAATCCAAGTTGCTCAGAAACTTTCGAAGGGGTAACTTGAGCTTGCAAAATTTATGCCAGCAGAGAAATCACCTCTCTGAGCCCCGATCCGATCAGCCTACCCTCAGACAGGCTACAGACCATCGACCCACACTGCAGGTCCTTTGGCATAGGATTTATCTTGCATTCCATATCTTTACAGCACCTGATAGGGACAGTTATCCCCCATATGTGCCCACAGCTCTTGTAGGGGAAATTACAAAGATGAAGGAGGCCAAAGCTTATCAGGGAGGCAGATGACAGAACAAGGGGCAATGGCCACAGGTAGCAGCTTGGGAGGGTCCAGTGGGACGTGAGGAAAAACCCTGGCCCATGATGTTGGTGCGCCCTGGAGCAGGTAACCCTGGGAGTCCTGTCTGCTCCATCCCAGGAGGTTTTGCAAGGCTCAGCTGCACAGATTGATCACCGACCTGGTGCAGTGCTAGTGACACTCCTGTTCCAAGCGGGAAGCTGGCCTAGATGATCTCTGGGGGTCCGATCCAAGCAGTGTTTCTAAGGTTGTGTACAACGCCCAGGTCCCCTAGCACGATGAAGTAAAAATGCTACTATTAATAAGAATGATAACTTAAAAAAACCCCTGATAACTAAAACACTGGAAAAATTGAGATTAAAAGTATGAAATTTTGAAAGTAATTGCTCCCATTCTGTTCGATTCTGTTCTTCCTCCACAATTATTGCCAAATCCACACATTGTATCAGATCAGATCCAAACCCCTTATCTTCCCCCTCTACTCTGCCCTGGTGAGAGCCCATATGGAGAACTGCATCCAGTTCTGGGCTCCCCAGTTCAAGAAAGATGAAGAGCTACTGGACAGAGTTGAGCAGAGGGCTACGAGGATGATGAGGGGACTGGAGCATCTGTCCTATGAGGAAAGGCTGAGGGAGCTGGGCTTGTTCAGCCTGGAGAAGGCTGAGAGGGGACCTAACACATGCCTATAAATACCTTAAGGGTGGGTGTCAAGAGAACGGGGCCAAACTCTTTTCAGTGGTGCCCAGCGACAGGACAAGGGGCAATGGGAACAAACTGAAGCAGAGGAAGTTCCAGCTGAACATGAGGAAGAACTTCTTCCCTCTGAGGGTGACGGAGCCCTGGCCCAGGCTGCCCAGGGAGGTTGTGGATTCTCCTTCTCTGGAGATCACACACCCGCCTGGAGGCGTTGCTGTACAGCCTGTTGTAGGTGACCCTGCTTCGGCAGGGAGGTTGGACTGGATGACCCACAGAGGTCCCTTCCAACCCCTACTATGCTGGGATGCTGGGATTCTGTGAAGTGGGAAGGGACCTCTAGAGATCACCTAGTCCAAACCCCTGCACAAACCAGGGTCACCACCTACAGCAAGTTGTTCACAGCCATGCCCCTTTGGATTTTGAGTATCTCCAACAATGGAGACTCAAAAACCTGTGCTGTATCTCCAGAGAAGGAGACTCCACAACCTCCCTGGGCAGCCTGGGCCAGGGCTCCGTCACCCTCAGAGGGAAGAAGTTCTTCCTCGTGTTCAGACGGAACTTCCCCTGCTTCGGTTTGTGTCTGCTGCCCCTTGTCCTGTCACTGGGCACCACTGAAAAGAGTTTGGCCCCATCCTCCTGACACCCACCCTTCAGATATTTGTAAGCATATATTAGGTCCACCCCCGAACGCTCTGGTTTTTTGCATGTACCTGCCCTGTGCAAATCCGAACTCACCGGAGTTCTGCCCGGTGCTCTCGTGGAGCCGAAGACGCCAGGTCCGTGTCCAGAGCCCTGCTATTTATAAGGCTTGGCAGAGCCGGGGAGGAGGAGGAGGAATGCAGCACCAAGCTGTTGTTTTGCATTTTGAATAAACTACCAAGACAGGTTACATATTGTGTGAGGTGTTGCATCGGTGGAGGCGGGGGGAGTGGGGGGGAGAAGTGCAGAAGCTGAAGTGTTCCTAATCCTTCTCTTCCTAGGGGCTGTGGATCCGATCGAAGCGCTTCCCTCCGATGTGAATGCAGTGTCCCCTGTGGGATGCCGTAGGTGATGCCCAGCTCTACTGCAATGGCAACTGGAGCTCTCTCTAGTTCTCTCCTCGTAACCTGCTGCCTCATGGTTGCCCTCTGTAGCTCCACCATACCTGTACAAAAACTGGCCAAGGCTCAAGACAAGCAGGAGATAAAGGCGAGCCAGGAAAAGAGGGATCACACATCTGCAAGGGACAGCCAGACAGGCCCGGGGAGAATGAATGAGATCGGCAGGAGCGGGAGGGAGGAGGGTGGGGGTCGAGGGCAGCGGGGCTCGGGGCAGGGCCAAGGACGGAGCGAAGCTGTTTCTTTTTCTGCTTTTCCCCCGAAGTCGCCCGCTTTCAGAGCGATCCCTTGGTCAGGCGACGAGGTGTTCCTTGCCAAGCCTGCCGGTGCAATGAATGGAGGGAGGTTTCTTGGAAGTCGGCGGTCTCGGGGCTGCCTCCAAGTTTTGCAAGCCTCCGGGGTGACATTGTTGGTATTCCTGCGGTCCTCGCCGGCAGGAAACTCGGAGCGAGCAGAGGAGCCCAGCTCCTTGAGAGCAGGGACACGTCCAGCGCGACGAGCCTTTAACCTTTACGCTAAAGGAAGGGGGTTTCAAAGGCCAGATACTCACCGTACTTCGCACTCCAAGTGGCAGCGTTGATGCTGGTACCAGCTCGGAAATACTCTGTGTGAGAGCTGAGAGAGGAGGCGTTGGGTTGGGGCTGGCTGGGGGAGCACGCTGCGGATCCAGCCTCCCTGGGAGACCTGCCACACATACAGGATCTGGAACTGTGCGTGCGAATGAGCTGTTGGGCAGCTGGGTTTTGATGGTCTTGTTAGATCATTTAAGAAGGTGTTGCCTTTTCAGAATTGAGAAATAAGCAGCAATTACAGAGAAGGCCAGGAAGAGTGCTAGCAGGTCAGGATTGAGGTGTTTTACCACAGTGTCCTGCAATTTGTTGTATTTATTTGTTGTCTCTATCATGTTATTTGATAGAAACTCTCTAAAAAACTGGGCCCTGAGTATCTATTGAGTGAAAGTCTTTGGCGAAGACTTGGTGATTATCTTCAAATAAAATGCAGTTCCTAGAAGTCATATTTAACTCCCCGATATATTTATCCTTCCAAAGGTAGCACCAGTAGTAATCAGAGCTTTTGTTACCAGATTGCTTGGTGGTGTGCGTTGTCACTCTTGTCCTGGAGAATTATTTGGTTACGTTTCTCATGCTATGACAGGAACAAAGTAAACATTGTAAAATAAGTTAACAGGCTTCTGAGATAAATGGAAGCTTAGAAGAATAACTGGTGTAAATACTTTCTGTTTCAAACTTGCAACATATCCAAAGTGGCTATAAAGTGGCTTTATTCTGGGAGGGAAGTGGCTGGTTTGGTTTTGAAGTCCGTTGCCATATCTGAATGCCTCTGCTATTGACTCCATCCTCACACCAAAAATAAAATTACTGGAGTAACTTTATGTACTATAGGCTAAGGATATCAGCCTGTCAGCTGGTAACATCTTCTCATCTTCAACCACTTTCATCTCCTTTGATGCCTATTTTGACCCAAATGAGAATGTGAATTACAGTAAATGACGCAGTGAAGACCACGTGTTTATAACAAAAAGTTCACTCTGTCTATAACTAGTACATTTGGGAACTGTCTGCTTTGGAGATGTTTTAACATGGTTGATCGGGGGTGGGGGTAACATTGTGGCAGAAATCAAAGGGCTATTTTATTCTTCTTAGTAAAGTTTTAATTACTCATCATCTTTGATCTCTTCTCTGCCTGTTCTCCATCCTGGTTGGCAAATGGACATGGCTGGTTTTTGAAGAGTTCTTGTGTAAGATTTTGTTTGTTTGTTTAAGAATCCCAAATTATTTGTGTGCCATGTACTTTAAAGCCTTATTTTAGATAATAGCCAGTAGTGTTATTGCAGAGACATCGTTTCCTGCCATGCTAAGATTTAACTTGCATATTGACTTCCTTTGTCTTTCTAAATCTGGAGCACTACCCTGGGTGGTGAGCAGATGGGATGGAGATGTGAAAGAAGGGGCTTGTCCTCTTGTTCTGCTTGGCTGCCAAAAAAGCCCCAAACAAACAAACCAGCCTGCTTGCACGCAAGGAGGACGTAGGTGGCCAAGATGCAATAAACAATTTCAATCATTCTCTTGAAGTAATTCTGAAGTCAATTTGCCCTGCACACAAAAATCGTCATTTAAAGCAAGTCAGAGTGTTTGTATGGCCATGAGCATTTCAGGATGTTTGAATGAAGTTCCTGCCTGTCTTCCGCTCCTTTTCCACACGCGGAAGCATGGGGAGGTGACACAATCCCACTGTGCCTGCGTCCTGCCCTACCCGCCATATGTTGTACTCGCTCCAAAGAGCCTGTCATCCCTGAGCAGTGCAAAAGGGCAGCATTTGTACACTGAGTAGTCTAACTTGGGAGAAATTTAGATGTATATAAAAGAATAAATATGCTTGTTTTAGTAGGTTTTGTTTTTATGAGACCAGGTTTGGAGGGAGGGCTTAGCTGGGTAATAGTTTTATTGGGGATTGTTGCTGCCCTGCAGAACACTGCCAGGGAGCTGTGTCTTGGACTTCCCATGCACTCAGCTGAGCAAACTTGAACTGGTTTGACACAGTGTTTACAAAAGTAGGACAGGCTTGATTAAAATATATATTAATTAAAAAGTATCAAATCTGTAACGGAGCCTGAAATGTATACAGCAGACCTTAAGAAACCTGCGGCCAGTGGAAACTACTGGGATTTCCCTGTTTTTATACAAAGACTTTTTTTCGACAAAAGAGGACCTGATTGTATGAGGAAACAGTGAAACTCATTTCAGAGGGTAATGAAGCTGAAAAATAGGAAGGGGGTGGGGAGAAACTGTTTCTTTCGAGCTCTCATTCTATTGACGTCTTGTTTTGGTAAGTGCGGTGGGTATGATAAGGAAGCGATAGCAGCCTGTAGATAGCGATGCACTGCATGCCAAATACACTTTGTTACCCACCTCATCCAAAGCTCATTAAATTGTTGATCTTAAATCAGTCATTAGGCCCACACCTGGGAGCTGCAATCGGGGTGTGCTGGCCTGGGAAGTCTGTAGCACCTCTAGGGTTGT